TCTGAACCTCAATTATGTTGTGATCTGAGTATATTGTTTTTGATATGGTGACATTTCTTATCAGATCATCATTGTTAGTGAAGATGAGGTCTAGTGTATTCTCCAGTCTAGTAGGCTCTATTATTTGCTGGTTTAAATTGAATTTTGTGCAGAGATTTAAAAGCTCGTGTGAGTGTGAGTTTTCATCAGAGCTGCCTCCTGGTGTTGTTACTGCAACAATATTATTTGCTATATTCCTCCATTTTAGGTGCCTTAAGTTGAAATCCCCCAGGTCATATGGTCATTTACTATGTTGCTGTGTAATCAGTAGAATGGAGTATTCTGTTAGGTAATGAAGTTAAATAGTAACAAAGCTTGATTGGGTCACAGGTTGACATTTATGAGATACAATAATGAGACATATATGAGATACAATTTATGAGATACAATTATTCAGTATTTATTTAGTTGTGGGTGAGTAAGTGATTTTTGAGAAGACTTGAATTTATAAACAGTGTTTCTTTTATATTCACAGGTAATGAATTCCAGATTTTAGGGTCTTTTATGTGCATTGAGTTTTTGCATAGCGTGAGGTGGACACGAGGAACATCAAAGAATGATCTGTGCCTTGTGTTATGGTCATGTGTTCTGTTGAGGTTGGTAAGGAGATGTTTGAGGGGAGGGTTTATGTCAGAGTTAAGTGTTCTATGTATGTAGTAGGTGCAGTAATAAGTATGGATGTTTTGTATTGTGAGTAGGTTTAGAGTTTTGAATATTGGTGGGGTGTGCTGTCTGTAGTGGGAATTTTTATTTCTTGGACTGCAGCCTTTTTTTTGGGTGATTAGTGGTCTGAGATGGTTTATTGTTGTTGAGCCCCATGTACAAATTCCTAGGTGAGATAGGGGTGTAAATAAGTGAGTGATATAGGGCCAGGAGGGCTGACTGTGGAACATAGTACCGTATCTTCGATAGTATGCCTACGGTCTTGGAATTTTTTTTGGAAATTTTTTTGTATATGTGTTTGAAATTTGAGTCTATTATCAAGGTGGATTCCTAGGAATTTTCCCACTGTGAGTTTTGTGATAGGTGATCCATTTATCATTATGTTAAGAGACATCTGCCCCTTTGGGTTACCAAACTGACTGTAGTATGTTTTGTCAATGTTTAGAGTAAGTTTTTTGGGGTCCTCATCCAGGTTGATATTTTCTGTAATTGGGGTATTTACAGTATTGGCTAGCTTGACTGGGCTCGGGTGAGAGTAGACGTATGTAGGGGTCATCTGCAAATAGTGTGGGTTTGAGTAGTTGCGATGCATTTGGTAGGTCATTTATGTATATGAGAAAGAGAAGAGGGCCAAGGACACTTCCCTGTGGGACACCAACTGTAATTGGCTGTGTGGAAGAGTTTGCCCCATTTGTGTACACATATTGGCTTCTGTTGCTGAGGTATGACTTGAGGTAGTTGAGGGAGTGCCCTCTTATACCATAGTGTGACAATTTTACGTGGAGCAAGTCGTGGTCAACTGTATCGAAAGCTTTACGTAAGTCAATGAAGATCCCCAGTGGGACTTCTTTTTCCTCTATTGCTGTATAAATATGTTCTAGCATGTGGATAATAGCATCATTAGTATTTTTATTAGGCCTGAACCTAAAATTATAGTAGAGGTTGTTAAAACTCTCAAGGATTTTGACAGACACTTTAGTCTATGATTTCACTCATTATTTAACATTGTGTGAACAAATATTGTTTTATTATATCTTCTACACTGTCTCCTACAACGTTTAAAATTTTAATATTTTGTTTCCCTTTTGCTGGCATAAAGAAATTCTCCTTTGTCTACATTTATATACTTTTATGCAAATTAACTCTTTCTTGGTAGGTTCCTACACGCCGATAAGTTTTTATTAAGGATTTATGTACATAGCAAACATTCTTTTTTACAACAGTCTTGAGGTCACACAAGGTTTAGCGCTTCATTTTGATTATAATAACCTGGACCTGGAGTTTACCTGGAGAGAGTTTCGGGGGTCAACGCCCCCGCGGCCCGGTCTGTGACCAGGCCTCCTGGTGGATCAGCGCCTGATCAACCAGGCTGTTGCTGCTGGCTGCACGCAAACCAACGTACGAGCCACAGCCCGGCTGATCAGGAACTGACTTTAGGTGCTTGTCCAGTGCCAGCTTGAAGACTGCCAGGGGTCTGTTGGTAATCCCCCTTATGTGTGCTGGGAGGCAGTTTGAACAGTCTCGGGCCCCTGACAATTTATTGTATGGTCTCTTAAGTGCTAGTGACCCCCCTGCTTTTCATTGGGGGGATGGTGCATCGTCTCCCAAAGTCTTTTGCTTTCGTAGTGAGTGATTTTCGTGTGCAAGTTCGGTATTTAGTCCCTCTAGGATTTTCCAGGTGTATATAATCATTGTATCTCCCCTCCTGCGTTCCAGGGAATACAGGTTTAGAAACCTCAAGCGCTCCAGTAATTGAGGGGGTTTTATCTCGTTATGCGCGCCGTGAAAGTTCTCTGTACATTTTCTAGGTCGGCAATTTCACCTGCCTTGAAGGTGCTGTTAGAGTGCAGCAATATTCCAGCCTAGATAGAACAAGTGACCTAAAGAGTGTCTTTCATGGGCTTGGCCTCCTAGTTTTGAAGGTTCTCATTATCCATCCCGTCATTTTTCTAGCAGATGCGATTGATACAATGTTATGGTCCCTTTAAAGGTGAGATCCTCCCACATAATCACTCCCCGGTCTTTGACGTTGGTGTTTCGCTCTATTTTGTGGCCGAATTTGTTTTGTACTTGATGAAGATTTAATTTCCTATGTTTACCCTATCTGAGTAATTGAAATTTCTCATCGTTGAACTTCATATTTGTTTTCTGCAGCCCACTGAAAAAATTTGGTTTTATGTCCGCCTGGAGCCTTGCAGTGTCTGCAATGGAAGACACTGTCATGCAGATTCGGGTGGGCATCTGCAAAGGGGAAAACACGGTGCTGTGGCTGACATCCTTGTCTATGTCGGATATGAGGATGAGGAACAAGATGGGAGCTAGTACTGTGCCTTGTGGAACAGAGCTTTTCACCGTAGCTGCCTCGGACTTTACTCTGTTGACGACTACTCTCTGTGTTCTGTTAGTGAGGAAATTATAGATCCATCGACCGACTTTTCCTGTTATTCCTTTAGCGCGCATTTTGTGCGCTATTACGCCATGGTCACACTTGTCGAAGGCTTTTGCAAAGTCTGTATATATTACATCTGCATTCTTTTTGTCTTCTAGTGCATTTAGGACCTTGTCGTAGTGATCCAGTAGTTGAGACAGACAGGAGCGACCTGTTCTAAAACCCATGTTGCCCTGGGTTGTGTAAACTGATGGGTTTCTAGATGGGTGGTGATCTTGCTTCTTAGGACCCTTTCAAAGATTTTTATGATATGGGATGTTAGTGCTATTGGTCTGTAGTTCTTTGCTGTTGCTTTACTGCCCCCTTTGTGGAGTGGGGCTATGTCTGTTGTTTTTAGTAACTGAGGGACGACCCCGTGTCCATGCTCCCTCTCCATAGGATGGAAAAGGCTCGTGATAGGGGCTTCTTGCAGTTCTTGATGAACACAGAGTTCCATGAGTCTGGCCCTGGGGCAGAGTGCATGGGCATGTCATTTATCGCCTGTTCGAAGTCATTTGGCGTCAGGATAACATCGGATAGGCTTGTGTTAATCAAATTTTGTGGCTCTCTCATAAAAAATTCATTTTGATCTTCGACTCTCAGTCTGGTTAGCGGCTTGCTAAAAACTGAGTCATATTGGGACTTGAGTAGCTCACTCATAATTGAGGTCACACAAGTATTATGCCTTTCATAGGTTTAATTTTTTATTCCCACAGCCTGGCCCTGGGCCAAGCTTGTCTGGTGAATGTCTGGTCCACCGGGCTATTGCTGCTGGCGCCCGTTAGATTACACTCCATCACAGACTTGGCACATATCAAGAACACTATGTATATTTAACCCAAAATAATCCAATAGTGAAAAAAAATGTGATTTATTTCTACTGGAGTCCCTGAGGAGCTATCTAAATCCTAGCCTCCCATTCCTTGGATCAAGCCTGATTGCCTCCCATTCCCCAGGCCATGTATGATTTATGGGTCGAGCGTTCCCCTCCATGAATGTAATAATAACAGCAATAATACACAAATTTATATTAACCTACGGTATTATAAAATCTATGGAGTCATTAAATGGGTATTTCCGGCGACCGTGAACGCCTTCAAAACTCATTCATTTTCTTGCATAACTTTAAGCTGCTTATAGTTAATAAAAATACACAAGAGCAAAAATTGAAGACTTGATTCAGATAGTTTATCCTTTATCCAGACTTATTAAAACCCTCTGTACAGGCGACACCTCGTCTTAGTAAAGTTACTAACTGCTGCTTGTCATTATTGCTGCTTGTGGTATCTTTATAACAGCTTGTGTCTTTGTTAGCTACAACTTGTGGGTATTCACATATTATGTACTGTTGGAAATTGCTTTGTGTGAACTACTTACACGTTAAGTCGCAGACGGTGCATCACACTCACATACGTCAAATCTTCTGTGAAACATATGGAAAAACATCGTGGCCATATCAAAATTCATTGCGAAACACTAAACCTGTAGGGATTACAAATCACTTGCTAACTGGATGATGGGATGGGGGGGGGGCAATCAGGTTTGATCCGAGAAAGGTGAAGGTATCAGTAACTCCCATTCCTTGGAAGAAAAACCATTGAGAAGCGTCGAGGCACCCCTTCTTATAGGACAGCTGTTCTTAGTTTTTATCACATGGAAGATATGGCAATTTATCGACGACCTCCCATTCTGTTTTGAATTTCATGCAGAGAATTAAAATGTTGAACCTCTTACAATACATAAGCTACTTTCCTTTGAATAATAGGTTATAATCATAACTATATTTTTAAAGGGGAGGACCGGTAAACTAGTGGAAGGCCTCGGTCAGTTGATCAGATACAGAGAACACTTTCCCTTTGTCACAATACAGCTGTTCTTGCAGTCACGTTGGAGAGAGCTAAGATTCAGGTAGCCCTGGAGAAAATATGTGACATGGTCTTGGAGGGTCCAGGAAGCCGTGATGGATTCGTTGATTTTTCATCGCCACAACAAGAAATGTGTCTAAGCATGAATATCTCCAATAATCTCTCAAGGAACTACGCCATAAAATGCTTTTATGGAAGTCATGCGAAGCCTGTCTACAACTGCTCATCTACCACCACATGCCATGGTTAGTTGTGTATTTATTTATTTATGTCTTTGCAAATAGTGCATTGAGATTATGTATTTACAATAATGGGTTGCAATGCAAAGAGAAACTCTGTTACGCCTAAGCATTATGGGCCGACTTAACATTATTGGCTGACTGACTTGTTAACACTAAAGAATTATATCATAGTTGTACAGTAGATCTATTAATTATAAGTGAATCTTATTTATATAAAACAAAAGATATATTCATATATTCAAAAATGCTTTTTGTGAAACAATGATTCAGTTATATTCCTGTCGACAATGGATAATAGATTCAAAAGTAAACCATACCACGGGCGGGGATAGAACCCGCGATCAGAGTCTCAAAACTACAGACTGTCGCGACGGTCTGGAGTTTTGAGACTGATCGTGGGTTCTATCCCCGCCCGTGGTATGGTTTGTTTGCAATCGTGTCATTACGATTTCGTGAGTCAGGTTCAAAAGTAATTATTGAAATTATGATATGGGAATACGTATTGAGTATGGGAATGCTGAGTATTGAGCATTTAGTTTAGGGTTATTAAGTGGCTTTTGAGAAGTCTTAAATTGATTTTCAGAGCGGGTTACTTTAATATCTTCTGGTAATGAATTCCATATTTTGGGGCCATTCATGTGCATAGAGTTTTTACACAGTGTGATATAGACATAGGGTACATCAAAAAGAGATCTGTGTCTTGTTATGGTCATGTGTCCTGTTAAGGTTGGTGAGAAGTTTGAGTGGAGGGTTTATATTTGCGTGTATTGTTCTGTGTATGTAGTAGGCACATGAATAAGTATGGATGTTCTTTGTGGTGAGCAGATTTAGACTTAAAAATTTGTGGAGTATGCTGTCGGGAGTGGGAATTTATCATACCGACTGCTGCTTTTTTGCTAGGTGATTTAATATTGTTGATCCTCATGCACAAATTCCATATGTGAGATAAGGGTATATGAGTGAATGATACAGGGCCAGGAGAGCTGATTGTGGAACGTAGTACCGTATCTTTGATAGTATCCCTACTGTCTTAGAGATTTTCTTGGTGATTTGTTGTATGTGTGTCTGGAACTTAAGGTTACTGTCAAGGTGGATACCTAGGAATTTTCCCTCTGCGAGTCTTGTGACTGGTGATCCGTTTAGCGTTATGTTAAGTGGAACATTTGCAGCTTTGTTTCCAAAATGAATGAAATAGGTTTTATCAGTATTCAGGGTAAGTTTATTAGTCATCATCCAGGCAGATATTTTCTGCAATTCGGCATTGACAGTGTTGGCGAGTATGACTGGTTTTGGGTGGGAGAAGACGTATGTAGTGTCATCTGCAAATAATATGGGTTTGAGTAGCTGTGATGCATTCGGTAGATCATTGATGTAGATGAGAAAGAGGAGTGGTCCAAGGACACTTCCCTGTGGGACTCCTACTGTGATTGGATGGGTAGAAGAGTTTACACCATTTGTGTACACATATTGACTTCTGCTACTAAGGTATGGCTTTAGGTAGTGGCCTCTGATACCATAGTGCGTTAATTTAGAGTACAGCAGCTCATGGTCGACTGTATCAAAAGCTTTACGTAAATCAATGAAAATGCCCAGCGGGACTTCTTTCTTTTCAAGTGCGGTATATATCAGTTCTAGCATATGTATGATAGCATCATTCGTGCTTTTATTATTCCTGAATCCAAACTGACAAGGGTTTAATATGTTGTGTGAGACGAGGTAGGAACAGATCCGTCTATGAATTAATTTTTCAAAGATTTTAGAGAGCAGTGGTAAGTTAGATATTGGTCTATAGTTATTCAAGTCAGCTTGGTCACCTCCTTTATGGATCGGAGTGACCCTCGCTATTTTGAGGATTGGTGGGAAGGTAGATGATTCAAAGGATTTGTTAAAGAGCGTTGCAATGATTGGTGACAATACTTGAGAAGCTTTTTTGTACATAAAAGCAGGCAAGTTGTTTATGTCTCCTGCCTTGTTTTTAAAGGTGTTGATGATAAGCGAGACTTCTAGTGGGTTGGTTGGAGCTAGGAATAGTGTATTTGGGTAGGTACCTATGAGGTAGTCTGATGGACGGGTATTTGAGCTTGGTATTTTGTTCGCTAGATTTTTTCCTATGATGGAGAAGAAAACATTGAGTCTGTTGTTTCAGTTGGTGTGAGTAGGGGTTCGTCTGATTTTGTTAATTTAATTTTGTTTTTGGATAACTTTTTAGTTCCAAGAATTTCAGATAGTTTTCCAGGTCTTTTTCATATCACCTTTGATGTTATGTAATCTATTTTCATAATACAATTTTTTAGATCTTATCAGGCTAGTAAGAGCTGACGAGTAACGTTTATTTATTTAACGTTTATTTTACAAGTTTACAATGTGATTGACATGTTGTAGAGAGGTAGTTTACAATGTGTAATTAGAATAATGATTTGCAGTCCAAACAGAGCCACTATCATGCCTAGGCATTACGGGCAGACTAAATTTAATGGGTTACAGACTACTTAATACTAAATAACAAAAAAGGCACAATACCGTGACTGGAACGATACACAAATAACCCGCACATAAAAGAGAGAAGCTTACGACGACGTTTCGGTCCGACTTGGACCATTTACAAAGTCACACTAACCAGAAGAACGAACGAAAGTTCAGGTAAGATCCCAAATGGGATGAGCGGGGAAGACGGGACAGACGAAGAATAGTGCTGGAGAGGAGTGTTCTTAGTCGTAGAAATAGAACCAGGGCTTAACCCAGCAGCGAAGGCGATCGTGAGACAGATATTAAGAAGAGAAATTCAGGCTCTTCTGTTGGGACTCTGGTGGTGTGAGTGGGGAGGAAGGGACATGCGACGTATAGAGCTAGAGAGGAGTATAGAACTGAGCCATGTCTTAACCCAAAAGCTAAGGCGAACGTGGGTCAGAGAATGGTACCTGTCATAGAAGATACCTCTCGGAGAATCCAAGGTTATTTGTAAATAGGGTTAGGAGCAGGATCATGCAAGGAGTAGAAAAGGTTGTGTTGGTTTGTGGGTCTGCGAATGTCTTCGTCAAGGAGAGAGGTCCAGTAGTCATGTCGTGTCTCAAGTTTGTTTTGTCTGTCACTGAGCGTCTTCCAGTACAGATTCAGGGCAGGGATGTCTAATTGGGCATGGAGAGACTCGCTTGTGGCGAAGTCCTCCCATCTGACATCAAGCACCCAGCGCAGCGCCTTGTTCTGGACACGCTGCAGTTTAAGTAAGTTTGTTTTTGCTGCAAGAGAGAGGGCTAGAGGAGAGTAAGTTATCAGAGGACGTATTAGGAATTTGTAGAGGTGTAGTTTGGTGCGTTGAGAGGCATGTTTCAGCTTGTAGAGGCCCGCAGGGGCCTTACTAGCTATTGCATGCCTTGAGTGAATGTGTCCGTGTAAGCGTAGAAGGTAGTCAAGATTAACGCCAAGGACAGTGACAGATTGTGTAATGGGGATATAAGTGCGAGTGTCAGCTGTTCTGAGCTCGACAGGTAATGGAGGATCACGTTTTCTGTAGTTAAAATATGTAATGCTGGATTTAGCTGCATTGGTTTTGATCCTCCATTTTTGTTCCCAGATGGCTGTCCTGTCGACCTCATTTTGTGTTTTGTGTGTGAGTGTATCTATATTGGCATGAGTGATAAGTTGTGTAATGTCGTCTGCATAGGCTAGTGTGATGGAGTTTTGGTATACAGGTGTTGGAATGTCGTTAGTGTATAAAATGTAGAGGGTAGGGGAGAGGACAGATCCCTGGGGTACTCCAGCATTTAGTGTGAAGTAGTCAGAGTAACAGCCTTGGAATTTGATTCTCATGGTACGGCCGTCTAGGAAGTTGCAGAGGAGTTTACGAGTAGTGAGAGGCAGGTTATAGTTAGTGCAGAGTTTGTATTTGAGCCCTTGGTGCCAGACAGTGTCAAAAGCTTTTTCAACGTCTTTTGCAACCAGGGCTGTCCTGTTTCTTTGTTCTGTGTTTATGTGGATGTAGTTGAGAATGATGTTAATGGCATCCTGTGTGGATCTGTGTGTTCTGAAGCCAAACTGACCATCAGAAAGTAGAAAGTTGTGTTCCAGGTATCTGCGAAGGCGATGGTTTACCTGGAGTTTACCTGGAGAGAGTTCCGGGGGTCAACGCCCCCGCGGTCCGGTCTGTGACCAGGCCTCCTGGTGGATCAGAGCCTGATCAACCAGGCTGTTTCTGCTGGCTGCACGCAAACCAACGTACGAGCCACAGCCCGGCTGGTCAGGAACCGACTTCAGGTGCTTGTCCAGTGCCAGCTTGAAGACTGCCAGGGGTCTGTTGGTAATCCCCCTTATGTATGCTGGGAGGCAGTTGAACAGTCTCGGGCCCCTGACACTTATTGTATGGTCTCTTAACGTGCTAGTGACACCCCTGCTTTTCATTGGGGGGATGGTGCATCGTCTGCCAAGTCTTTTGCTTTCGTAGTGAGTGATTTTCGTGTGCAAGTTCGGTACTAGTCCCTCTAGGATTTTCCAGGTGTATATAATCTTATAATCTTGATGAGTTTTTCAAAGAGTTTTCCTAAAGTTTCGAGGAGGCTGATAGGGCGATGTAGTTTCTAGATCAGATTTGGTCTTTTTTGGGTTAGGAAGGAGGATAGCAGTAGCAGCTTTGAAGAGGGAAGAGAAGTATCCAGAGTCAAGGGAGGCATTAAGGAGGTTTGTGTAGGCAGTAATGATAGAGTCAGGAAGGTGTTTTAGGATAATATAGTTTAGGGCCAGAGGCACCGGGGACCCTTGGGAGGAAGGTGTCTGAGGAGAGTTTTGATTTTCTGTGTTGGTGAAAGGAGTGTGCGTTCTTGGGAGGAGGTAAGAGAGTCTAGATGTATGTGGCTATCTGGTGTTGTTTCTTGTGTGTGTGAGTATTCCAGTGTTCTATGTTCTGAATGTGTTGAATAACGTTAGGGTGAGGTGGGTGGGGGTGGAAGATGTTCTCCCAGATGTGTTTGAAGATGTTGGTAGCAGCCTGCGGGTCTGAGATGTGTGTGTTG